TGTTTTAAGTACCATTACCTATTCCTCAATTCGTTTATCTGCTCTGATAACTTCAACTTGTCTTCTTTCAGTTGTGTATTTTCCTGTCGTAGCTTTTCAATGGCTTTTGGTTGTGTTTGATCTTTATGCTGAAAAGAAGATTTAAGATACTAATCAAGAACAATGAGCACAGTAATCAGTAGAATATAACTAGAAAACACACAAATGTGCTCGTATAATACAAAGACGTGCATACGTTAAAAGTCTTGGGCAAAATAAGTGTCTAATATTTCTTAAATATTACTGATCTAAGGAAAATAAAATGATAATATTTAATACCTGAAAGTGCTCTTCGTTTTCATGTACGGCTCCCTTATGTATTTTCATACCTAGCTTCTCCTTATTTGTGTAGCGGTCAAGCTCATTTTTGTAATCTAACCTTAACTTTTCAAGGTCTTGTGCCAGGCCCGTTGATCTAGCTTTGTAATGATTGAGGTCTTTTATTACTGCCTCGTGATCTTTCTTAAGATTGTCAAACTGAAGCTCAAGCCTTCTGTTATCACTTTTTATTTGCTCTAGTTGTTGTTTTAGCGGAAGATTTCCAGTTCTTTGCTTTTCATATTGGCACTGGAAGTTTTCTATCACGTTTTTTGATTCTTCAAGCTCTTGTTTTGTCTTGATTAGGTCACCTTTCATCTGTGTCAGTTCGGTCTTTAGTGCTTTACATTCCATTTCTGATTTGCTCTTTGCATTTATAGAATAATTAAGATTTATATTCATTTTTTGAGGTGAGCATAAAGTTAACGTCTCTATAAATATACATTTCAAGGTAGAAGAAAAAAATTTTGTCTTTCATATTTTCAACATTTGAATAATCTATGTCGCAATGCCGAGTATATATAAAAGGCAGTTTCAACAACCAACTCCGTGTCTGACATTTAACTTTTATTAGTGGAATATGTCAAAATGAATTAAATTGTCACAATAAATCAATAGTAAAGGAAAGCTTCAATAAACTTATACTTTAAATATTTGAACACATAAAATTGTTAATAACTACTTTATAGTCACTTAATAAATATTTAAAAATGATTCAACATATACCTCATTTTGCGTATTCCCGGAAATTGCTTTGTTATCTCTATCCTTGCTCTCACGTATGTAGTGGTCTAATTCTTTCTGCAAAACTCTGTAATCGACACGGAGCTGATCCAATTCCTTTTTACTGTGATCATTGTCATTTTCGGTGCCCTTTTTGAAAATAAGCATAAACATATCTATATAAAATACTCAACAAACTTGTAAAACCCGTGGCACATAGAAGATGAGTACCACTTCACTATGAAATGTTACCTTTAATATCAACAGTACATCAAACTATATTTTATAGGCTCCTTAGCATGCATGAAATCACATAACTATTCAATAAAAAAATAACGTCGTGACAAGAAATCTTCCAAAATTTATTTACCTTGCTCGTAGAACTTATAACGGAATTATTATTACGATGCATTTAGAAATAGTTATCACGTTGGTTTTGCCTTTTAGGTGACTTTATGAGAAATTGGTATAAATATGATTTCTTGTAGAATTAGGAATAAATACAATATCTTGAAGAGATGGTATAAATAATGTAACTGCTAGTTCAGTGTTAAAATAGCATATTAAGTAGATCTTACGAAATGCCTGATATTTGCTTATATTCTTAAGATATAAACGAATAAATGCATTTCAAATACAGGCAAAATATAAATAAATTCCATTGTTTGTAATTTTGTTTTCCTCATTCAAAATACCATTTACTGTTACCGTTATAAAATAATGAATTCATTAGGATGCAGGCAGACATATGGTTAGTTTGTAACATCTGTTTTTACAATATCAAACGAATCTCATTTCATTTTTATTAGACAAATAACCATGCGAACTGCTGTTTTTCGTCTTTGTTAAGTTAAATTATCTGTTTTCATTACATACAATAAGTGTTTATTTCTTCATAAAAATTGAACTTACTTGAAAGCCGCATAGATCATGCAATGATTTAATCTCATTGATACATGACTTGTGAAAAGTTATTGCCTCATTTACTTGCTGTTTCGTAAAATCTGTTTTCCCTTCTTTTAGTTGACGTAAAACATCCTCTACTTTATCACTCATTTTATCTTCGAATAAAAATGCCATTAACTGGTCTTAAATAGAAAAAATACCATATGATTATTTGGAGTCATAACTCGATTCAAAAGTGTTGGTTTAGACATATATTTATTGAATGATTTTATTTAAACCGACACTTATGATTATGGTCGCTAATTCTAAGTCATATGTCTCACAAATCCAGTCATTTCATAAGATAAATTTCTTAAAGCTGCTTGCCTCAAAATGAGCCAAAACCTATCTTGACAAGAATGTACTTTTATTTTAAGAACAATAAACAAATGAACAAATCAAGAAATAGTTTACATGTCATATGCAATTTATGTCTACGTTTGCAGTATTTATTACAATATTTTAAGTGCGTAGGGCAATTTTTTGCAATTCTGACCCATTATTGGTAATTTTCATAGACTTTTTTGTGCCGTTAACAGTTTGTAAATTAATTTCTTTGTTCACTTGACAATATTTTTTTCTTTATAATACATTTTTGAAAATTTTCATGAAAATAAGCATGAATCTGAAAGCATGCTGCTTTAAATGCAGTTGTCTAGTTTCAAAATATCAATTTTAGGCATATCAGGGTGCAAAATGAAAGTCAGTCAGCAAATTTTAAAAAGCCTGTTCAGACTGCACGGGTGTCCATATTAGCGTGACTCTAAACGGGTGGCAAAGGATTATTTCTTTCGGTTCAAACAGGGTTAAGCTAAAGCTAATTTCAGTTAGGCTCCCGGCTTTACTAGAGGTCGCTTGTTCTCGTGTGATCACCAGCAAATAACCCGGTACAAGTAGAACATTAACCACTTACTGAATTATTTCATTTCATAATGCTTCAAATAAGTTCTATACAAATTAAATGTTGAATCTACAGTGCAAGAAGTAGAAACATTACAACTGAAATTGATCATAAATTTTCGTTTTTACATGTTACCTATAACGTATTATAGGAAATTATAAATCAGTTATAATTAAGAAAAACAATGGAAAGGATAAAGCCTTCAGATCATATGAAAACAAAACCAAAAATGTATTACTGATTAACTTAAATATTAATTTAAACTTACTTACATCTTATAGTTTTTTAAATTCTCCAATGTATGAATCACTTCAAACCGTCTAACCCGTTTCAATAGCAATCGTGCGTAACGTACAAAATACACACTGTACAATTTTGATGAATACATCTAATTTACTTCCTTCTTCGTTTCTGTTGTGATAAAAAGGGTATTTGAACGCATTGAAACGCTATTGATAAGATGCAAATATTTAAACTTCTCTATCAATCTTTTGGCCAGGTATGAAATATAACGATGACACCAACAATGAAAAATTCGACGTATATTTAAGAATGACAAACAAATACACTAGTTATCTTATGTAATTATAGAATACGTTATATATTAACCCTTTCCCTCATGAGCATATTGTGAAAAATGACCGTTTTCATTGAAAAGCCTCCTGTTACATGAAACTATGAAAAATGCTTCAATACTTATCAAACTTGGCACAAATGTTGACTGGACCATTGCCTTTGTAACGACATGCTCAGTCTTAAATTTCCTGTTGCCATGGCAACGAGGGGACATCTCAAAATTGCCAAAAATCACTATTTTGCCTTCATTTTTTCCATCAAAATTTATTTCAAAGTGCTGCAACTTCTCAAGGGATTGAGATAGAGTCAAAGGCTTTTCAGCGTTGGTTACACGTTACCTTGTGATCGACCTGGGGTCATTTTTAGCCTCTCACAAGTCCAAAATTTCTTGGCGATGATGGCGACTACCGCCTCCTTTCAACCCCCCCCCCCAAACAGAAGGGGGCACATCCCCCTTCTGGCAACCCCCTGATGTATCTTTTGGATAGGGGGCAGTGCCGAAAAAGTGCTCACTTTTTAAGCAATATTTCTCAAACGAAAACATGTGTTTGGGGCCAAAATAGGACATTTTTTTCACTATGTGAGGCCTAAAAGAGGGGGTCAAAAGTGCGTTGTATCGCGTATATATGAGGTAAAGGGTTAACAAAAAATGACGAAAAACTTTGGAATTACCCAAAATCTAGTTTTTCCATGTTAACATGTGGTCTTTCACCTAATTTTTGTGAAAAATTGTTGTTTTGTAACATTTCTAATTTTTTTAGTTAATGAATGGTGTGTTGCTTCCGTGTGTCAAGGTTGTTGACGTGTTCCATCTATTTCAAATTCTGAAGCTATTGCATGCTGTATATTTGAAAACTTTTAAAAGAGAATAAATAAAAATGGTTATTTTAAAAGGCTTTCAAAAGTTTAACTTTTCACTCTCCTGATTTCACTGATCTTAATAGTTGTTGAATCAAAATTAAACCCTGTTAATGTCGGTGTCAGCTCTTCGGATGCCGATGCTTTTGGATATTGTGAAGTCTGTGTTCCGTTGCCAGGCCTTCCTAGTTGATCTCTATTCTCATGTTTTAATGAACAGATGTGAGTGACTTTGCACTTTTCTTTTCTTTTTTCATTGACAAAGTCATTTCATTTTTTGTTTATTTACTGGCCCACATATGAAACGCCCCTTAAGAATTCTTCTATATGGAATAGTTCAGCAACTCAGAATCCTTTATACACTCGGTGTTGAGCACCGTTACATTGGATTTACATCGATTTATAAGGTATCATTTAAACGACCATTAATTAGACTTTTTGGCAGAGCGGGGGTTCGAACCAGAGACCACATGATTCAAGTTCAAAGTATTATTAAACTTTCGATTAAACCGATTCTATGATCATTATATTCTTATTACTCTCACTTTACTGGACCTTTTCAATACTTTTACCGCCAGTATATAAATATCTATTGTTTTCCCGTGCAGGTTTTTTTTTGCAACAATGTAAAACATTATGTCACGTGTACTTCTATATTTTTCCATTATATGCGTTCATTTTAATTTTAAAAAATACACTAATTGTTAATATTACAGTATAAATGGGTCAAATACTGATTTTGTTACTGTTATCTGTTCTTATTTTGAATATCTTTATATTTGTGTATCTTTATTACAAAATTTATTGAACTTGTTAAATTAAATAATATTTTGCTCAACATATGCTCGCATAATGCAATTTCATTCAACGCATTCAATAAATTCAGTATGGAAATAACACCTCTTCAATATTGTCTTTTTTCAAAGTTTTATGAAACAATTATCCCCTCTACTAAGAAAATGAGCATGATCTGTATGCAAGTTTTGTTTCACATTCCTGTCATTACGTTAGTGCTATTTTTCAAATGTTTTACATAGTTACACACATACATTTTGTATAAGACAGAAAAATAACATTTACTACGCTCCTATGAAGTATAAGTATTAATGGATTTTCCACGTGAATATTGAGTTCCTGTTTGTACGTGTAATAAATGTAGTGCACGTAACAACTTCAATTGCGTTGTACAAAGAAAGCATTTGCTCTTTACTCAATTGCATTTTCGTCTATTTAGTTTTATTGGTAATTAATACATGCAATTTAATCAACACACATTTCTAAATGACAAACCCATAATGGAATCTATCAAGAAACTATTGATATAAAGTTATTGTTATTGTCGCTCATTTATAATCATTTTCTTATAAAATGCGTATGAAATTTACGCTCACCATTGTCAAACTTGCAATTATTTTGCTTGCAAAATCCCTTTTGACATCAAAGGGCCATTCTTATGCAGTAACACAGCAGGCCATACTGTTTGACTGACAATATCACCCCTTTTTGTGTAGAAAGTAAATTTATCTTTGTCACACTTTTCATCTTCTGATTGCCATTGTGTTTCCATTTGAGGATTTTGAATTTTCATCAGCCATACTATTTCAAATGTTTTAGCTACAAAAGCGTCAGTTTCCCTTGAAGATGGTGGTAACCTCTTTCTCTTTCTAAAGTCACACATAAACCAGCTATCAAATATCTGAAATAGAAGCGTTTATACTTTCATGTACATAATAATCTTATTTGGAGTCATGAGAACAAGAAAAAAAACTATCTGCATTTTTTTATTTATTATGTTATGGAAACTGTGTTAGTGTATTATATCCACTGGGTAAAGATTTATAACCATAATTAACGTGTAAAAAACCTAGTCTATTAATTTCTACTTATTTCATAATTTCATAATGTTTTTTTTTCTCTTTAATTTATATAAATTGTAATGATTCGTCAAAATTTAGAGATAACGAGTATTTGTTACAGTTGATGTATGATAACGAACAGACGCACAGGCAAAATTAGTATTACGCACATGCGTGCTCACTAAACACATTTTTTTGTGGTAAAAAATAACAACTTTAAATTGATCACCTGAACCAATGGCCGGACCGAAAGTACTCCCACCGACTTTCTTAGGTCATGAATTATTTTCTTGGCTGTTTCCTTCTGCCCATTGGACACTTCTGAAGGGGTTTTGCATCGCTATATAAAAATCATATAAGAGTCATATAAACGTAATAGAAAACATGCATTTTGTTAGTTAAAACATATTTAACAAACCAAAATTTTGATGAAAATTTGAAATAATCTTTACTCTCCAATCCGTTTATATGAATGTTTTAGAATATGGCAACGACCCTAGTGTTACCCTAGCTTATATTTTGTAATACAAGAAAGCAATCGATTTTCAAAACTTTGATTATTTAGATCACTAGAAATTAGAAAATGCAAGTCAATGCCATGCTATCTGAAATTGATTGATAAAGTTGTTATACAGAATGTACACTTACAAACGTTTGATTTTTATCAGTGACAAATTTTGGATTTACTATTTCATCTGTACAAGAACGTGTTATTTCCTTGATCTGTTCTTCGCTGAACCGAGTGCAAAAATATCTCAACTTGCTGTAATACAAGAACTATAATAATAATCACAGTCAATAAGCATAAATAATCATTACACAAGTACACTCTTTGATAAGAAATATTAAAAAAAGAGAAAGATTGCAATAGTATTTTTAAAACTGAATATCCATATTGGCTGAGTTTTGTGCAAATATTGACTATAATCGAGCCAACAGGGACACAAGTCTAAGAGAAATGCTAGTGTATGTTTTCAAAGGCAAGAAGTACATGATATAGCTGTTCTTTTCCTTAAATTATTTCTTAATATTACAAAATAGAGAACAACGAGGGATGTTTTTAATACCACAAACCCCACTGGTTGTCATTACCGACATGAGGTAACTTAAAGTAGCAATAACTTTCATCTCATCCTTTAAAAACACGTCCAACTCTTCAAATGAGCGAGTCCATTCCTCGTCATATACTTCTCTAAACTTTTCCGCCAGTTTTGTTGGTCGAAATGGATCACTTAAATCAGTAATATTTGGGTTACCATCTTGCATTTTATGTCCAGCCAACGTACTTAATCTGAAAATGTATCATATTTAACATGTACATGTTCCATGTTATAAGTTCGTTTTCTTATTGAAGTCCGTTGATTGTCAACAACTTACAATATGTTTCATATCATTGGAAACTGTTTCTTACATGATAATCGTTCACGTACAGAATTTATAAAGATTTATTAATGTTTATCGTATTTTATAAACGTGCACATATCTTTCATAATTATACATCATATACAATTAACATTCTAAACTATACAAATATCGCAGCTGGCTATATATATCCTACATAATTGCAGACGTAAATGATAGTTTCGGACCTTATATGATGGTGCTTCTTGTAACCGAGGAGACGCTATATGCAAGTATATTATATATAAAACAAACAGTGGTGGGGATTGGAATCAAGTAAGAGTATTTCTTATATCCGAGTGTTCACCAATGATCGGTGTTTTTATTCATACCTAGTTTTAAGTTCTTCATTCTGCTTCCGCAAAGATTCATTTTTAAATGCAAGATCTTCTTTTTCTTCCCGTAATCTGCTTACAAGATTTGGAGAATCCTGTGATAGAAAAATGTTAATATTAAAACCATTGTCAAAATACTATAGGTATAAAAATGTTATTCTATTCTGTATGGATAATTTAAGGTCATAAAGAAAAATTTGCTACAAAAATATAACAACTGTACAATTCTATATTCTTGTATGGAGAGTGTTTTATAATTAGCACATGAATTGTATAGAAATTCAGAGAGAAAAACAACCAAAAAGACTTTCCTTAACAAAATATTTAACTGATCTTTCAACCCTTTCGCTATTTTAGATGGTCTATCAATGATTTTGCGCATTTACAGAAATTTACTCTTAAAATAAATACTTACGTACGATTTATATCAACATATAAGCATATTAGACAGCTTAATGTATAATATTTTAATACCTTTAAGCTCATGTCTTCCATGTATTACTATAAGATTGCAAGCATTCATGACAGTCATATTTTTACATCCATCTATTTTTACTTTTCTAGTTATTTATATGTACGAATTAATTTATTTATTTGTTCGTTATTTATTTATTTATTTATTTATTTATTATAATCTTTGGGAGACATATTGGTTTTGCCTTCACCGTCTGCCTGTCTGTCCGTCAATCAGTCCGCATTGAGCTTGTCCGGCCTTCACAGGTCAAACCGCTGGTGGGATTTCAACCAAACTTTACAGGAGTGGTCAGTACCATCCCCAGTTTTGCACATCGCCGGCATGTTTCGCTTCGCTGCACAAAATGGCCGCCAGAGCTAAGAATAGGAAAATCTTGTCTGGCCTTCACAGGTCAAGCTTCTGGTAGGATTTCAATAAAACTTCACATGAGTAATCATTACCATCCCTAGTTGTGCATATCGTTGCCATGTTCTTATTTGCTGCACAAAGTGGCTGCCAGAGCTAAAAAATAGAAAAATCATGTCTGGCTATCACAGGTCAAACTGCTGGCGGGATTTCCACCAAAATTCACAGGAGTTCAGTACCATCCCTAGTTGTGTATATCACATCATGTTCCGCTTTGCTGCATAATGGCCGTCAGAGCTATAAATAGAAAAAATATTGTACGGCTTTCACAGGTCAAGCTACGGGTGGGATTTCAATGAAACTTCACATAAGTGACCATACATAGTTTTGTGACAAAAACCCTTCTAGTTTATTTTCTTTTGTATGGGGATGTTTTTCTTGAGGGTGTGTTTTCTTCCAAAAAGATTTTTTATCAGTTAGTCGTTTCTCCGTCTGATTTCTTTGACACTTTCCTTTGAATCTTTTTTTCTTTCTTTTTTATTTGAATGTTTTCCTTCTTTCTGTTATTGTTTGATTATTTTCTTTTCTTTCTGTTTTTCTTGTGTGTTCCTTTTCTTCCTTCCTTCCGTCCTCTCTTTATTTCTTCCCCTGCCCTCTCTGTCCCTTAATGTTCATTCATTCATTCATGCATACATTCATTCATTCATTCATTCATTCATTCATTCATTCATTTATTTATTAATTCATTCGTTTATTTATTTAAAAAGAAATTAAAAAAAAAAAACAATGATTTCTTTTTTGTCAAACACTACAATCAATAGAAATAGCAAATGTAGCTTCCCATATAGTCGTGACAACAAAATAATTATTGGTAAAAATCAATTTTAATATAACTAACCTTTGATGACTTTATTTCCTCTTTATCCTGGTCGATTTTAAAATAAGATTTCTGATGTTTTTCGTAGAAGTTTTTATACATCCTAAATAAATCCATGAACTCTTTGTGCGCATCTATAGCGTCGTCAAGTGCGTTGTCTTTTCCAGCATTGTTTCTTTTCAAATATAATAAATAATCCCCGACCTTGTCTGTATTTCCACATTTTCTGTAGGTTTTGATGACATTAATTATGTTGCAAATATCTAAAATTTTAAAATACCCCGAAAAGGACAAAGTTTAAATTTGAAATAAAGCGAAATGTAACTTTTTAATATTGAATGTTTAATGTCCAATTAACGTATTCAATAAAACAAAAAACGTTTGAATGTTTTTTGTTTGAAAAATTTAATTAAACTTCCGTTTTCGGTTTTACATAGATCAATCAATATATAAACGCTTGATTGATTAACAGATTCAATACTACTAGGCTAGTTCTTAAATCATTCGTTCATTTTGATCATAATCGATTTTAAAACACTTCACATAATGTTATCAGTAAATATATTTGAAAAATAGGTTCAAAGGTTTTACATGAAGTATAGAAACTGCTTATTCCTATGTAAAGGACGTTATTTGTTTACTTTAATTCCGTTTCAATAACATGAACAATATTGTCGATTTATCACATGAACTGAGCTTTGAGCTGTTCACTACTTTATAAAACAAAACAATCACTCGTGTATGCAATCCTTTGAAAATAAGAATTGTATGAATAAGTAAGAATATTTTTACATTTCAACCTACATATTCGTGTAGTTTGATTAGCCTAAATGCTGTTGGTAACAATTGTATTTCAGATCCCCGGAATCAAAGCAACTTACATCCATAACATTAGGATTTAAAAAATATCAACATTAAACACCGAAACCTTATTTTGTCTTGACACAGTGTTCGTAATTTTGGAAATGCATCAATGTAATCATACAAGGCATATTAACATACCTGCCACGTTTGGGTTATTAAATTATTTGCTATTTTCGAAATGGAATTACCCTTTCTTTAAATTCGGAAGTTAAATTATGTTCGAATGGTTTTCAAAATTGAGCTGGTCAATAGGCCTTGTCTTCTATATATGCGGTCAGTGATATTCCCCAGCAGGTAAAGGATTAACATTTCACACCCTTTAGTATTATCATAGCCGAGTTCAATGTTAAATCCTCTGGATCGGATCCGGAGCAAGGTCTCTCAAATTGTTAAATTTCAACATACCAAAGAACATAAAAGACGATAAATTAACTGATTACAGGGAAAATATATTAATGTCTCCATTATATCTAACCAAATGAATGTATAACTAGCCATTTTAATATGTGCTCCGTCAGAAGCTCAGTTTAGTTCTGCATACATCAATTTTGTTTAGTCATTTGTATCCATTTACAAAAGTAAGTGTATCTTATACATAGGAACAATATAATTGTCACATTTCATCTGGGAACAAATTATTTACTGATTCAAAAAATAACCGTATTAAGAAATCAAAAACAAAACTGAATACACATTCAAACTAGTTAGGATCTTACATAACAATATTTAGAAACTGATTTTAGTCCAATTGACCACATACAACCGTAATATTTAATAAAATTGTGTGTTAATGTAAGTTTAAGAGGTCATCCCTCTAGGCTTCGTTAGCAGGAGGTTATGGTCGTCGACTTTGGACTTCAAGATAAAGTCCCTTGCCGTTTTTGGACTAATGAATAATTCAGAAATAATGCAATAAGGAGGAAGAGCCGGAAAGTCGACATTCAGATCCGCATGACTTCATCATAACAAACAATGGCATGCACAAAACTCAACGGAACACAGTATTATATCAAGCATGCACATCATTTTTTTTTTAAATATTACATTATTATCAAATATAATCTAAAAAATGATACATTATAGTTATACAGTATCAAATATATACAACATCCTTTTTTTCTGTCGTCTGCTCGGATATTTAATGTCCTTTCATTGTGCTTGAACGATACCTTTCGACATCAGAGGTCCGGATTCATGAAGTAACACAGCAGGCCATACTGTTTGCTTAATTGTATTCCCTCTTTTTGTATAGAAAGTGAATCTTTCTTTATCAACCGGTTCATCTCTTTTCTGCCATTTGAATATCATTGGCGGGTTCTGAATCGTCATCAGCCATATTACTTCAAATGCCTTTGCTACAAAATTTTCAATATGTTTGGAAGTGGATGGTAGCTTCTCTTCCTGTTTCATTCTTATCACCCATTTTTCATGAAATATCTGAAAATTTATAAAATAATGGTTTTTGATGTGTGTTTTTTTAAGTCGGTTCTATATCATACCGAATCATTTATTCGCATACTTAATAAGGTGGGAAAACAACAAAGTCAAAACTGACAATACAATAGAAGAGTTGAACAGCATTTGAAATTGTAAAATGTTTTTATGTAATTAAAATTATAACTAATCAAATCGAGAGAAATAAACAATTTCTCAAAAACCTCCAACACAAAATTCAAAATGCTACAGGCAAGGATTTATTGAGCCTGTTCATTAAGTTTTTTACAAACTTGTCAGTTGTTGTAAAAGGGAATGCATCATTTGATTAGATTACCTGGACCAATGGTCTAACAGACAAAGTTCCCATAGACTTCCTCAGGTCACATATCATTCTGTGAGTGATTTCTAACTGTGTATTATTCATCTCTGATGGTGTCTTTCCGCACTTCATGTTTAAAAGAAACATCAGGATTACTATAATTATAATTAATCATGCTTTCTACAAGTTAAGAGTATTTTAAAATACCATGTTCAACACTTTTAAACAATATAAATTTCGTGTGTTTTTATTGTTTTTCATTTTGTCAGCTTCACGATATCCGCCAATATTGATGGAATAAGATTTCATATTGTCATATTCCAGTTATATTTCTGAGAATTTGCCTTTTAAAGTTGTAATCTTCAAGCTTAAATTATAATCATCATAACTATTAAATGAAATTGGAATCAACATTGAGAACTTTAAAAAGGTATAAACATCATTTATCGGATAGAAAGGCATTTAATACCTAAAACCATTTCTTGTTTACAAATAGCATAATCAAGTTAGAAATTACCATTATTCCGCTGTGTTTTAGGATATGAACCTTTGGATTTACCAACTCGTCTTTACATACTTTTTCCATTGCATTTATTTGTTGTGAACTAGAGTATGTGCAAAATGTTTGAATTTCCTAAAATCAAATATAATAATGATACATTATAAAATCGTTGATATTAAAAGAAACAGACTAATACCTTAAAAATCAGCTTTGCGGCGGGCAAAGAAGAATTTTCCTGTATGATTTATACGTTAAAACAAGAACATAAATGATTTTGGAGAAAACTACTCGTCTGGTGACAATTCGCCGAATTATCTTTTAGTTGTCAACCTTGAGCAAAAACGAAATGACAATCTAAGAACAAAGAAACAATGATATAGTGAAATGTGGAAACTTTAACATCTTCAATCAAGAAAAATGGAAAATTTTGCAGGATTGGTTTATTTGAGTATTTTTGGTTAAAGCAATTTATCCGCCATGCCCCTATCACCGAGTTAATTATTCCATATTTTAAACTATCTTAAATATTTCAAGGGTTCTTTTCAAAATTTAACAACAAAATATTTTACTTTAGTTGTCTTGAAACGCGCAAATGGTCAAATTCAAAACCTTCACCTTTATGAGGTAAGTAAGAGTGTCTATATTGTCACTTTCAGGTTTAGAATTTGTGTCCAGTTCTTCATAAGCATGCGTCCAGTCATCGTCGTAAATTTCTCTAAATTCTTCGGCGAGCTTTGTCGGTCTAAACGGATCGCTTAAATCTGCAATATCAGGATTTCCGTCCATCATTTTATGGCCTGCCAAAGTACTTAGCCTGAAGTTAAAAACTTTTTGTTTTTATGAAAAGATAAAAGAAAAATGTTATGTTTGAAAACTATAATTAATGATCAACATTATTTTTTGTCCAATCACATTGTAGTATTTTTCAAATTTCTGCTAAGTCTAACTTTGGTTAATGTGTACTAACTAAATAAAATTTACTTAATCTGTCGTCTAACCAGTCTAACAAATTTCAATAATGCATTATATTAGGGAGGAGTTAGAGGTGTGATTTGCACTCTGAATTGTAAAATATCTAAGGTTATCAAAACAATGCCAACGTAAAAAACAATTAAGCGAGGTCAGTGTTTCTAAATGTGAGGATACAATCAATTAACTTATTACATAGATAATACATGTGGGGCATGCAGAGACAAATGATTACATAGTAACTTTTAATATATCCTTTTAACTCTAAGAAAAATGTCTGTTATAAATTGCTGACTGTTTTAAAACTTCTTTTTTTTTTTCCTCTTTCAGTTGATAGGAATAAACTGCATTAACAATCCTTGATATTAAGAATACAATGATTACACTTTTTGGCTGAAAAAACTCATTGTAAATGGAAAACCTAGATTGACACACACAGAAAAACTGTTTTTTCAAAACTGGGATTTGAAATGTTAGTGAATAACTTAAAGCTAATAACGAATTTGTATAAATTATTAATCTAATGTATTTTCTCACATTTTCATTTATTTATCAAGGATGTACACATTTCATTAACTCAATTGTTTTTCCTCGCTGTTTTTTTCCCCAAATATTTTATATAGAAACATGATAGTCTTACTGTAGATAAAGGTATAAGTCTGTGACATTTCAGTAAAAAATGTGCCTGATTATTTGTTGATAGGGCCATTTATTTAGCTTATGTAAATTTGACATGTTAGAAACTTGACAGGTGTAGACATCTGTAGAGCGAAAGGGCGGAGCTATCTGTTGATTTGAGTGAAATGCCTTGTTTTTGGTTGAAAAAATAATGTTGATCATTAAATAGGTTAATGTTTAATAATATGCATTAACAAAAATAATTAGTCGCCTGCCTGCGGCAGGCTTGACCAATTATTTTTGTTAATACATATTATTAAACACTAACCTATACATGTATCTAATTTACCACGCACTTGCGAATATTCCTGAGCATTTTTGTGATTATATTTTATGTCAAAGTTGTTTTTTAGCTCAGTTTCAGGCTTGTTATCGTGTTTAAGTTATATCACCGCCAAGTTAACAAAGACCTCGGAATAATTTGGCTCTTTATTAACATATGGAGCACTTAAAACAATGTCTTTTTGTTTAATTTAAAAAGGCAAGTTAATGAGTAAAAGATTATAATTAGAAATAGCTAAAATATTG